TGTGAAGGGCACACTCACTAAATGTTAGTTCAGAGGTGTGGACTCCTGTGGCATAGACCCATGAGTTCTGCATTTCCTAAAGCTGTATCTGAGGGAATCATTTGGAACAGATCAAAATGAAATGGCAGCTAACATTCTGATTAACAAGGGTAGGAGCATAGACCAGAAACAGGCATCTGTTTTACTGCTTCTTTTGACTTCCAGGAGCTTCATCTGAGTATTAAAAAGGGTACTCCTGACTCATCATAGTTCCACTACTTTTACACTAGTACACAGTCCTTTCCCAGGCTGTTTTCCTTCCTCCTGTCCGTAGCTGAGCATCCTGGGTTTCAGCATCTCACTTAAGCTAAATGCCATCCTGTTTCTCTCTTTGCAGATTGAGGAAGCTCTCGTGCGCAGGAAGAAGATGGAGCTCCTCCAGAAGTATGCCAGTGAGACCCTCCTGGCACAGAGCGAGGAGGCCAAGACGCTGCTGGGACTGTAACACCAGCATGGCCTGGTTTGGGAGTAATCCACCCAAAAGCAGCAGGTTCCTATGTTCGGTAGCAATGGCTTTTAGCTCTGAAAGTCCTTTGGATGTCAAGAGCAAACTGATGGAATTACAGTGTGTTCTGCAAAGGAAACCCATCATTTTGGTTTATCCAGTAGAATGACTGGCACTCCAGTGCTGACAAAGATCAGACCTTGTCTCTGCATCTACAGCTGTCATCAGTCCCTTCAGTTTGTAAGAGGGTCTGTGCAGTGGTGCCTCTTACAGATAGAACCACACACCCACCGACCTCTGAAATCCCGAGGGGAAGCCAATGGCGTTCCTGCCACCCTCTCTGCTCTATCCTGACTGTAAGTGTACACATCCTTCTCATGCTGGGTTTTGATGAGCTGAATCCAGAATTAACTCAGTTACACCTGCTTAGTTTACAAGAATAGCCTAGAACCTGTTTAGAGGTACTTGGATGACAGATCTTATGAGTGACTTTGAAGTAGATTTGGTTCTTTGTGTAACACATACAGTGTCTAAAATCTGCTGCCCTTTTTGTGGTTTGTAACTGCGCCTGGATGGATTGCTTAAATGCTGGATATTTCAGCAGCTGTTGTAAAAAACTTTGTGATACCTTGCTCAAATATTTTTAGTAAAACTTATTTACAACCTGATGTCTTGTTTCATTCTAGCTCAGAGGGTTGTAGTGATTCCCTAATCGTAGCCAAAGAATGGGATCATAAACAGCCACCCCTGTAGGGATTTGAAGCTCTGCATCCCCTACTGCTCTTGGCTTGTGTATCCTGTGACGAGAGGCAAGTTACAGCAGAGCCTGTTTAGAGTCTTCTGGGTGACTGTTGTACAGATCTGAATGAATGACATTTTAAATTGGACATCTGCAGCCATGGAGTATTTCTGTCTAAGAATAGAGTATTTAATAGTCAAGTAACCATGTCTGGGACTGTTTAACCTATTTCCAATGCTCTTAGTCTTAATCTATTACTATCTCTTGTGAATAATCCACTCCAGAACAATCAAAGCTCTAAATTATAGAGGAGAGCTTTGTCTTACTTGATGTAAGTGATTAAACAAAAAAGCCTTGAAAATGTGGAAAGTGTAGCCACCAAATTAAAAACTTAGAATAAATCAAAAGCTCAGTTATTAGTAGAGGCAAACAACTAACATCACAAACATGTTCTTCTCTCTTCCTGTTAGCAGCGCAGCTCTCTCTGCTTTGTAAGAAAGCAGCAAATGAGTGTGTTTATGACACAATAATTTGCATGTTCTGGGTTCCAAGCATCTCCAAAGTGCTGCTTTTTGAGTGTTTTCTGTTCTTGGGTTTCAAGAAGTGATGTGCTATTTACATGTTCTCTGTATTGCTGTAAAAGACAACACTGTTTCTCAGAGTTCCTTCCCCAAAACCGTGGCCATCGAGAATCGAAAAATAGGCTCCTTTCCTGTTGGATGTGCTGATGGTTCTGGATCAGAGTGGCGTCCTTTGCCTGTGGAAAATCTCAGTCTGTGAAGGGTAAAGGCTTTGAGGGCTGGAGATGACAAAAACAGGTTTAAGGGAGAAAAAACCCAGCTAGTTTGTACAGCCTGATACAGTCTAGTACAATTTGATAATACCAGTGGTAGATCCCTTCTGTCACTATATGAATCTCTAAGATGGAAGACAGAAAACCGAGGGGTAAAGGTAAATCAGGGACAGAGTGATGATGAAAGCAGGCATAAAAAAGGAATAAATTGAAAGAATGAGAGCAAATCAACAGGACTGTAATTGCATTCATATTCAAAGGAGTAGCTTCCAGCCCTGAGCATTAGCCAACATCATGATGTAAAAGGAAAGTTTTTAAGGCAGGGCTGATCTCTGCCAACCAACACAGAACTGGAATAAATGCACAAAAATGTGGTATGGAACTGTTCAAGGCAAACTGCTGCTTGGCCCTCTCTACTAAATGCTCTCTGTGTAGCTCAATGCAAAGGGTTTTTAAGCTGAATGCTCATTTTGACTGTGCCTGAGCCAACAAATTGCAGAGGAATTCTTTGCCACAGTGGCCTGTAGCAAAAAGGCTATGTCCTGCCTGCTGTGTGGGCTGTGGAATCACTGGTGCAGTCAGGGTGGGGAGGCTGCTGTGGCCACAGCCAGGAACTGATCCCTTGTGTCCTGCAGGAGGGAACAGTGTGCAGGCTCTGTGTTAACTCTGAGCGTGCAGCAGTACTTGGATGCCTTGTGTTGTCAGGCTTACAGCTTGTACCATCTCTGCCATGCCCCAGCCCTAAGCATTCCCAGGTTGTAAAATAAATACTTTACACATGCTTACACATAGCTCTCGTCCTCTGATCTGCCTCAGAGCTCTGCACTGTGTGTGAGCCTGGCTTGAGCTCTGAGGGGACAACCTCCCTAACCGTGCTGTCTGAGCATCGATTTTGGCTTGCTTTTGCCTTTTAGAAGTGCATTTGGTTGTTTCATTTAGTGCCAGCCACGGAAGTGGAGCAGTTTAAAGGCCACCTTCTTTACTCTGTGTCTGGGTGAGCGCAGTGCTGGAGGATCAGTTTCTGCCTGCAGTCAGAGTGGGGGTGAGGAGTATTTGTTGGCAGCACAAGGAAATAAGTGGATTTACCTAATCTGCATTAGCAGATGAGCAAGATAAGCAAGACAGCTTTGTGGAGTATCCATTAACTAGTGACATTTTGTGCTGCTTGTCTCAAGTCCAGTTGCTTGGGCATGCCTTTGCAGTGCAGGGCTGAGATACTGTGGTGGTTGTGCTTGATGGACTTTTTCCCAAAAAGCACCGATTCCTGAAGTATCACAGAATGGGTCAGGTTGGGAGGGACCAAATTGGCTCATCTGGTCCCACTTTCCTGCTCCAGCAGGGCCACCCCAGAACACGTGGCACAGCATTGCATCCAGCTGGAATATCTCCAGTGAGGAGACTCTACACCCTCTTTAGATGATCTGTTCAGTGCTCGGTCACCGCAAGGGAAGAAACTCTTCCTCAGGTTCAGGTGGAACTTCCTAGGCATCAGTCTTTGCCCATTGCTTGTCCCAGTGGTTGGCACCCCCGAGCAGAGCCTGGTCCATCCTCTTGGAATCCCTCCTTTAGATATTTATACACGTTGACAAGGTCCCCTCTCGGTTTCTTCTGCAGGCTTAACAGGCTGAGCTCCTTTGGCCTTTCCTTGAGAGATGCTCCAGTCCCTTAATCGTTGTTGGCCTATGCTGGACAGGCAGAACCAGAGAGAATGTTTCTTCTGGTTTGTTATTAAATTAAAAGACAGTTGTTCCTTTGCTAGAAATGTTGCGCTGCTCTTCGCATCGCTGCTAACGTGGC